GTGGGGGGTGGGGGGCACGGCCGTGGCGCACGGGGTGAGGCACATGGTGGTGGCACATGGGATGGGGGACATGGTGGTGACACATGGGATGGGGCACATAGGAGGGCGCACAGGGTGGAGGACATGGTGGTGGCACACGGGATGGGGCACATGGGACAGTGCACGGGGTGAGGCACATGGTGGTGGCACATGAGATGTGGGACATGACAGTGACACACGGGATGGGGGACATGGTAGTGGCACATGGGATGGGGGATATAGGGTGGCACATGCAGTGAAGGACATGGGACACAGGGTCAGTGCAGGGTGGTGGCACCCGGCATGAGGACATGGGCTCAGCACTTGGGACATGGGGGGACATAGGGACAGCACGGCAGACACGAGGTCAGGGAACAGGACGCGGGGGACACGGCCCAGGCTCACCGATGACGATGATGGTGACAGACAGGACCAAGACGAGGAGCTTCCCCAGCCCTGCAGGTGAGACAGGGCCCGGGGCCACGGGTGACACGTGGGACACGTCCCCCACCCCAGCTTGCCAGCTGTGACAGGGCATGGGGGGGACACGGGGGGGACCCAGGTGACACGTCCTCGCACTCACAGGGTGGGACAGGGCACCGAGGGGGACAGGGATGACACATCCCTGCACTCACAGGCTATGACGGGGTGACACGGAGGTGACACGGGGGTGACATGGAGGGGACACAGGGTGACATGGGTGACATGGCCCCACACTCACAGACCATGACAGGGTGACACGAGGGGTGACACGGAAGGGACATGAGGTGACATGTCTCCTAACTCACAGGCCATGACGAGGTGACGCAAGGGGTGACACAGAGGGGACATGGGTGACACGTCCCTGCAGTCACAGGCCATGAGAGGTGACACGGGGGATGACACAGAGGGGACACAGGTGACATGTCTTCTCACTCACAGGCCGTGACGGGGTGACACGGAAGGGACACGAGGTGACATGTCCCCGCACTCACAGGCCGTGACAGGGTGACAGGGAGGGGACACAGGGGGACACGGGTGACACGTCCCCGTACTCACAGGCCATGACGGGGCGCTTGGGGGCCTCGTCCCTCCCCTGCAGCAGGGCCGTGACGCTCCCGTCCCGCTCGGGTGACATGGGAGCACCTGGGGACAGGGAGCAGCAGGGCCC